AAAATGGATAACTTTGATTACATTAAATTGAAAAGTTTTTTGCACAAACAAAGCCAATGCAACTAAGATTAGAAGGAAGGTAGAAAATTGGGAAAGAATTTTTACAACAAGTCTCTCTGATAAAGGCCTCATTTCTAAAATATATAGAGAATTAAGTCAAATTTATAAGAATGCAAGTCATTCCCCAATTGATAAATGGTCAAAGGATATGAACAGACAGTTCTCAGATGAAGAAATTAAAGCCATCTATAGTTATATGAAAAAATGCTCTAAATCACTATTGATTAGAGAAATGCAAATCAAAACAGCTCTGAGGTACCACATCACACTTATCAGATTGGCCAAGATGACAAAACAAGAAAATGATAAATGTTGGAGAAGATGTGGGAAAATTGGAACACTAATGCATTGTTGGTGGAGTTGTGAAATGATCCAACCATTTTGGAGAGCAATTTGGAACTATGCCCAAAGGGCTATAAAAATGTACATACTCTTTGACCCAGCAATAACACTTCTAGGGCTATATCCCAAAGAGATCATACAAATGGGAAAAGGACCCACATGTACAAAAATATGCAGCTCTTTTTGTGGTGGCAAAGAATTGGAAATTGAGAGGATGCCCAACAATTGGGGAATGGCTGAGCAAGTTGTGGTATATAAGTGAACAGGCTGACTTCAGAAAAACCTGGAAGGACTTATATGATCTGATGCTGGGTGAAGTGAGCAGAACCAGGAGAACTTTGTACACAGTAATAGCCATGCTTTGTGTTGACTAATATTGATAAACTTAACCCTTCTCAGCAATACAAGGATCTAAGACATCTCCAAAGGCCTCATGATGGAAAATGCTATCCACATCCAAAGAAAGAGCTATGGAGTTTGAATGCAGATGGAAGCATACTATTTGCTAATTTTTTTTCTCTTCTGTTGAGTTTTGTTTCCTCCTTCTGGTGGTTCCTCCTATTGGTTCTAATTCTTCCTTACAACATCACTAATGTGAAAATATGTTTAATAGGAATGTATATATATAACCTCTATCATATTGTGTGTCATCTTGGGGAAGGTGGTGGGGAGGGAGGGGCAGAAAAATTTTAAACTCAAAAGCACATGGAAGTGATTGTTGATAAATCAAAATAAATTAATTAAAAATAAAAAAAGGAAAAAAAAAACAAATGGAAGGACCATAGAGGACATCTATGTCCAATTCCCTTTTCTTACAGATTAAGGCCTAGAGAGATGAGGTGACTTTCCCAAGGTCACACAGTTGGTAAAAAGATCTGGCCTCTAAACATAGCTTCTTTGGGGCCAAATTGAGAATTCTGTCTATTTTCTAGTAGAAAAGGTATTGCAGTAGATAAAGTGTTTTTAAAAGAATAGCAAACTCCATGTGACTGCTTGAAAACATACTCTAAATCCCTAATAATAAGATAAAAGCAAATTAACTTGACTGAAGTTGACCTCACATTCTGAAAATGCACAAAGATGACAGAAAATTGGAGCAGTCAATGTGGAAGGAGCCATGGGAAAACATGCACAATATTGCTTTGTTGCTAGAGATATGAATTTGTTCATTTCTTCCAGATATCAATTGGAAATTATGCAAGAAAAGTAACTAAATTGATCACACCTTTTGGCCCAGCAATCCTATTATTGTATATGTACCTTAAGAAAGTCAAACAACTATAACAGAAGTTGTATATATGTACATACGTATGTTATATATATATATTATATATATAATATATATATTATATATATATATATATGGCTCAGTAGAAAGAGTGTCTGGAGTCAGGAAGACTCATGACTCATCTTTGTGAGTTCAAATATGGCCTCAGTCTCTTACTAGCTGTGTGACCCTGGTTAAGTCATTTAACACTGTTTGCCTCAGTTTTCCTCATCTGTAAAATAAGCTGGAGAAGGAAATGGTAAACCACTTCAGTGTCTTTGACAAGAAAACCCCCAATGGGTCCAAGAAGAGTTGAACATGACTGAAATGACCGAACAACAAAATAGGTATACACATATGTGTATGCGTGTACACATATATGTATATATACATGCAGGTGTGCATATATATATATATGTATATATATATATATATCAACATATTCATAACAATACTTTTTATTGTAGTAAAGAACTAGAAGCTAGTAAAGGAACTGAACACTCTTTGTAGTAGCGAAGAATGAGAAACCATATGGGTTCTCACTGAATGAAGAATTCACTGAAACACAGGAAGATTTGAATAAACAAGCAAATCCAAAAGAACAGTATACTGAATGACTCCTGAAATGTAGTTTTAAAATATCACTAGACTTTTGGCTAAGACGGTGGTGTACTAGAGGAACCAAGATGACCTTTTCTATCCCTCTCCTCATCCTAACTGTAGTTAAGATCTAAAAAATGCATAAGAATGAACAATAATAAAAAAAAAAAAACAAAAAGAAATGTCTATAAATGCCTCCATCTAGTCCAGGATTGTCTCAGAGGGTTGTTGGTAGTCTGTGGATCCTTGGAGCAGACTAGCCAAGGAAGATGGAAGGCACATAAAGCAATTTGCCTGGAGCCCATGGAGGAAACAGGCCCAAACAGGTAAACAGGCTGCACAGGGCTCAGGCAGCACTGATCAGCCAAGCCAAAGGAAAAGGTATGGCCAGATCAGCCTCTAGGCAGTACAGTGACCTGGAAGCCTGACCTGAGCCATAACGGAAGATGGGAGTAGACTAGGACCAGATAGTATAGTGCACACAGTATGGAGCATGGCCTGATTCTGAGTCATGGTAAAAGATAGAGACAGATCAGAACATTGGTAGCTCAGCACCCAAGTAGCCCATACCAGAGCTATATCAGGAGCCACAATAGGAAAAAGAGCCAACACAACACCTTGGCAGAAAAGTACCTGGTATCTTGCAAGAGGCCTCCTATTAACACACAAAATCTGATTGGCATCTTTTAGGGTCACAGGAAAGTATAGAACCAACTTCTAGTTCAAGAATGTGCAAGAAGAAAGGGAGAGAGAAGGGGTTAAGGCCAAACCTAAGCTGAGCCACTAGGTGACAGAATCAAAAATCTAAAAATTCCCACAAAGGATGGGAGATCTTAGCCACAAAAATTGAGGATCAAGTAGTATTTGTACACCCCATTCAAGAGTCTGAAAAAGAATACATTCTGGCTCAAACTTGAAATCACAATCCAGAAACTAAGGCTGTAACTATGAGCAAACAGAAGAAAACACCAAGAAATTAAGAAATGCCATGGATTGAAAGAAGTTCAAGTGGTAAATAAGGAAGGAAGGAAGGAAGAGAGGCAAGGAGGGATGAAGGGAGGAGAGGAAAATTTATTAAGTACCTACTATAAGCCAGATGCTATCTTAAGTGATTTACAAATATTATCTCATTTGATCTTTATAATAACACTAGAGGTAGGAGAAAGAAGAGAGTAAATCCATAACAAATCCAATTAAAGCCTCAGTGAAAAGAATTGCTTGATCACAAAGACTTATATGAGTCAAGGGATACAAAATTTTATTTAAAATAAAATTGAAACCCAAGAAGTAGCTGCCATCACCATCATTGGAACTAAGGCCAATGGAGACTGAGATAATGGCAGTGGAATAAAGACCAACTTGACATGGTGAGGATGGCACTGAAGTAGCTCACAGTCACTTATAAGTGGGCCCAGATGACAGCTTTTCTGAGTTCGCTATTTTTCTTGATATTCTGAGCTTTTCTCCAAGATGAAGTTCACTTATGAGTTGTTTTACCCAAACATTTGTCTGGCTTGATGACAGGGAGTAATTTTATTGATTTGCTAAGCAGATCATGTAAAAGTCACTTGGATTTTTTGTATGTTAATACACTTAATTATTTTACTTTTTAAAAAGAAAATATCACTAAAGGAACCTAAACTCTAACTAACTGAAAAACTAGTGATGGACCTAAGGAACAGATAATGAAACATACCTCCCTTCTTCTTCTTCTTTTTTTTTTTTGGCTAGGCAATGGGGTTAAGTGACTTGCCCAGGGTCACACAGCTAGTAAGTGTTATGTGTCTGAGGCCAGATTTGAACTCAGGTCCTTCTGAATCCAGGGCTGGTGCTCTATCCACCATACATCCTTCTCAAACAGAGATGTATATGTGGGAAGGGGGGGTGGTTCTAAGACAAAATGGCATATACATTGTAAGATATATTTACAATAAACTGCTCCACCTCAAGAAATGACTATAGTGTAAAGGCGAAAGACATAAACAAATCATTTTTTAAAAGGAAAAAAAAACTGAGTTGAAGCAGGGTATGGAGAGAGACACCCGGACATTGTCAGGACAGCTGTAGGGCAGGGCTGCATCCCTGAAGTTAAGAAATGATTATGATGGTGTCTGCAAGAGGAGGAGGAAACTCATTCCACTTTGTAGTTTCCTATTTTAACTAATTATTCTTGATTACTAGGTGCAAAGTTCAATTGTTTATGTATTGCTGGAGGACTAAGTGTTGTAAGCACTCTCTCAATTTCGATGCTCTAAGCAAAGTTCCAGTCACTTTATTCTTGTTATGGTTTGACAAATCAGTGTGTATTTCCCTTGTCTTTCTAGAAGTGGAAAGTTTTGCTGCAAAGTAAACAAGCTTATAATATGGAATTTTGAGTCCAGTTTTTTTCTGAGCTTCAGAGAATACCTATTGTGTTTGTGAGGTGCTTGTCTTTTTTTTTTTAATAAAAGAATTAAGCCCAAGTCAAAAAGAGAATTCAACTGTGGGACATGGAAATTTTCTTGTCTCCATACACAGTAAGGTACACTACTTGCATCTTCCTACATCTAATTACAGCAACAGCTACAATGTAAGAGGGCTCATGATTAACAACAAACTCAGCCCATATGTTCTAATAATAAAGTGATCGTTTCATTGTTATGTCTTTGTATTAGTGCTCAGCATAATGCCTGGCCCCAGTAGGTACTTATGAAATGTTAGTTGATTGATTGAAAGCACTGGGAAGAAGAAGAAGGGAGAAGAGAAGGAGGTGGAGAAGGAAAAGGAGAAGGAGGAGAAGGAGAAGGAGGAGAAGGGGAGAAGAAGGAAAAGGAGGAGAAGGGGGAGAAGAAGAAGGAGGAGAAGAAGAAGAAGGAGGAGGAGGAGGAGAAGGAGAAGAAGGAGAAGAAGAAGAAGAAGAAGGAGAAGAAGAAAGAAGGAGAAGGAGAAGGAGAAGGAGAAGGAGAAGAAGAAGACACTTCTTGCCATGGGAGTCAGCAGTGTCTGGATTCAAGCCCCAACTCTGATACATAGTGGCTGTGTGATCTAGACACTTAAATCCCCAGAGTTCCAAGGAAGTCTCTATGGCTCTACGACGAATAATGGGTGCTGGTCCACATTGGTGAAGAAAGTTCCCTATACCAACAAACTCACAGGTTATGGTCAAAAACTGAAATTGTTCATACTTTCTAAATGACCATTGGATATCCTATTCTTCCATCTGTTTCTCTAATTCTATGGCACTAAGGTTTTCTGTGTATATGCAGTATGAGACCATTAAGTATGCAGATTTAACATAGAGTGGTGAATGAATTCAGAAAAGGGAACTGATTTCAAATGTTAGCTCTACTCTTTACCTCCTCTGTACCCATGTCAGTGGACCTTGCTTTACTCATCTGTAAAATTAAGAGGTAAGGTAGCAAGGCATGATGGAGAGGGTATATGAAGTGAGACAGCAGATATTGGTTTGAATCCTAGCTTTGCCACTTTCCACCTGTGTGACCTTGGTTACATCATTTATCTTCTTTAGGCCTCTGTAAAATGAGGGAATTGGACTACAATCAGGGGTTGCATCATGTATCTTCTTGAAAGTCTGATGAAGTCTATGGACCCCTTCTCAGAATAATGTTTTTAAAGACATAAAAAAATACACAGGATTGAAAAGGAAACTGATTTTATTGACATAATTTTCAAAATTTTTTTTCAAATGAGTTCACCCACCCCAGGTGGAGTCACTAGATAATCTCTCAGAATCTTTTCTACCTCTAAATCCTCTGATTGATGAACAACATCAGAACTGCAAATGCTTTGCCAAGAAAAAACTTTATTTTAAAAGAGACAAATACAGTAAATGAAAGGCATTGAATCTGAAATGCTTAAAAATGAGAGTAAGGTCAGATTTTATTTATTCACATTTCCAAGCCCAGAGATTCAAGTGAAGACAGCTGGAACTTTTTCCAATTGGTTGCTAAATAGGTACTGGGTTAGTTCTATGTAAGAAGATTTTTTTTTTAAGGTCAGTGTTAAAGGAGAGGGAGCAAGAGAAGAGATGCATACTTTGTAGCTTATAATTTGGTTAACTAGCTTCCGAAGAGACTGCATATTTTCCACCACTGAATGGGTGGGTAGTCTTGGGTCTTAGCTGTTAGATCTCAGCAGCGCCGCTCAGCAGCAGGAGGAGCAGCAGGTGGGGCAGCAAATGGTGCAGCAGGTGGTGCGGCAGGGGGCTGGCTGGCAGCAGGGGGGTCGGCAGCAGGGAGACTGCACAGAAATGGGCTGGCAGCAGGTGGAAGCCCAGCAGCAGGGTCTGCAGACCACGGCTGTGCAGGAGGTGGGGCAGCAGGAGATGATGCGGCAGCAGCCCTGCTGCTCACAGCAGGTATCACAGATGGGGCGGCCACACCTGGGCACGCAGGTCACTGGGCGGCACACGGTGGTTTGAAAGGAGACTGGCAGGCAGCACCTGGGTGGGCAGCAGGGCAGGCAGCAGCTGGATTGGCAGCAACTGGGCTGGCAGCAGCTGGTCTCACAGCAACTGGGCTGGCAACAGCCAGAGCAGACAGAGCCACAGCAGGACATGGTGTTGGTTGGTTCTGGTTTGAGTTGGATTAGAAGGAAGAGTTGGTTTTTCAGGTCTGGATGTTCTGTTCTGTTCTGTCCTGGTCCCTTTATATACCCTGACTAGGTGCTGTCATTCCCCAGAATTCAGGAACCTTTCCTTGTTTTTTGTTTATGTCTTCAGAAATGAGAGCAATGGACTGGCCAATTCCATTGCTCAGAGAATTCTCCAGTATCATTAAACAGTTCTTCTGTTTTTCCCTTGAGTGATGGCTCATCCAATATTCCTTTTCCTTATGAATATTAGATATTAGTAATTCATGTTTCAAACCATCAGAAAGATCACTCGTCACTGCTAAACACTGGACCTCATTATTCCAGGTTGGATAGGTCATGTGACCCCCGACAGGAGTATCAAGCATTTCATTGGACCAGTCATCATACTTTTTTCCACTTGTATCCAACCACGACTAACATTAGGTACAAATTTTTCACTAGGTGAATTTCTTCATTTAGAGATGGTTTTTAGGTGAAAGAAGTTAGAAAAATTGTTTAAAGGTATTATCTTGAGAGAGCAAGAGAAGGAATTAAGTCATAGAAACAATGCATGTAAAGGCTTCTGGAAAGCTGGTGGTTGGGAAGAAAGGTCCAAAACTATTGTGTTGTTTCTTTTCTTTTTTTCCCCTCTGTTTCACCGTTATAGAAATATATCAAAATAATTTTTCAATCATTTTTGAGTTGTGTGTGACTCTGTGATCTCATTTGGACTTTTCTTGGCAAAGATACTGGAATGGTTTGACACAGGAGAAGAAATTGAGGTAAACAGAGTTAAGTGACTTGCCCAGAGTCACACAGCTAGTGTCTGAGGTGGGATTTGCAGTTCCAAGCCCAGCACTCTATTTATTGTGCCACCTAGGTGCTCCAAAATAATTTACTGAGTACCTAAAACCATTGAATTACTGATTTAGAGGATCAATGAGTAAAGTATAGTCTGAAGCACAACAGTACTCCATCATATACCACAATTTGTTCAACCATTCCCCAATTAATTAGCATCCCCTCAATTTCCAATTCTTTCCCAACATACAGAGAGCTGCTATAAATATTTTTGTTCATATAGGTCCTTTCCCTTTTATTTTTATCTCTTTGGAATACAGACCTAGTAATGGTATTACTGTATCAAAAAGCATGGACAGTTTTATAGTTCTTTGGGCATAGTTCCATATTGTTCTCCAGAATGGTTGGACCTATTCACAACTCCACCAACAGTTCATTAATATATCTATTTTCCCTCATCCCCTTTAGCATTTGTCATTTTTAAATAGGTTTGAGGTGGTACCTCAGAGTTGTTTCAATGTGCAGCTCTCCAACGTAATTTAGCTCCTTTTTTCATATGACTATAGATAGCTTTGATATCTTCTTCTGAAAACTGCCAGTTCATATCCTGTGACCATTTATGAATTGGGAAATGACTTTTATTTTTGTAATTTTGACTCAGTTTCCTATATATTTGAGAAATGAAGCCTTTATCAGAGAAACTTCCTATATTTTTTTGATATTACTTCATCATCAGTGGTACCTTTTAGAAAAATGTAGCTTCCGTGATTATCTCTTTCAATTAGGTCTAATTTTGCTTTCCTTTTTCTGAGATCATGATTGCCACTCATGTCCTCTTCATTTCAGCTGAAACATAATAGGCTCTGCCCCATCCCTTTATTTCAACTCTATAGGTGTCTTTCTGTCCCAAGTATATCTCTTGTGCACAACATATTGTTGAATTCTGGTTTCTAATCCATCCTGCTATCCCCTTCTGTTTTATGGGTTAGCTCATTCAAATTCACATTTACAGTTATGATCACTAATTGTGTATTTCCCTTATCCCATTTTCTTCTGTTTATCTTTTTCTCTTTTTATCCCTTCCCTCTTCAGGTCTGCTTTGCTTCTGACCACTGCCTTCCCTAATCTGACTTTCCTTTTATCGTCCCCTCCTATGTATATTTTTTTCTTTTCCCTCCATCTCCCTATTGGGTTAGATAGATTTCTATACCCAACTGAATACCAATGTTTGTATGCATGTATAAATGCATATATATATATACATATACATATATACATATATACATACATATATTCTTCCTTCTTTGAGCCAATTCCCATGAAAGGGAGGTTCAAGTCTTGCCTGCCACCCTCCTCATTTTCCCTGCCTCTATTAAAAGAAAACAAAACCAAAAACCTCTTCTTGCATGTCTCCTTTATGTGAAAAAATTTGCCCCATTCTAACTTTTCCTTCCCCTTTCTCCCAGTGAATTCCTCTTTTTTACCCCTACATTCTATTTTTGTAGATCATCCTAACATAATCAACTCACATCCATTCCCTCTGTCTTTGCAGACGCTTCTAACTACCCCAATAATGATAAAGTTAATGTAACATCTTCTCATTTAGGAATGTAAACAATTTAGCTCTAATGAGTCCTTGTGATTACTCTTTCATGTTTACCTTTTTATTCTTCTCTTGAGTCTTATGTTTGAATGTCAGTTTTTTCTATTCAGCTCTGGTATTTTCATCAGGATGTTTGGAAGTCCTCTATTTCATTAAATATCTATATTTTCCCCTGAAGAATTATAGTACATTTTGCTGGATATATTATTCTTGGTTGTAATTCTAGCTCCTTTGTGTTTTGGAATATGATATTCCAAGCCCTCTGCTCCATTAACATGGAAGCTGTTAAATCTTGCATGATGCTGACTGTGACTCCATGTTATTTGAATTGTTTCTTCCTGGATGCTTGCAATATTTTCCCCTTGATCTAGGAGCTCTGGAATTTGGCTATAATATTCCTGGGAATTTTCATTTGAGGATCTCCTTCAGAGGTGATAGATGGATTCTTTCAATTTCTGTTTTACTTTCTGGATCTAAGCCATTGGGATGGTTTTCCTTGATAATTTCTCAAAATATGATATCTAGCCTCTTTTTTGTTCATGGCTTTCAGGTAGTCCAATTTAATTCTTAAATTATCTCTCCTCAATCTATCTTTCCATGTCAGTTGTTTTTCCAATGAGATATTTCACATTTTCTTCTATTTTTCATTCTTTTTACTTTGTTTCATTGTTTCTTGATTACTTATGGATTCATTGGCATCCACATGTCTAATTATAATTTTTTAAAAGTTATTTTCTTTTTTTATTAATAAATTTATTTATTTTTAGTTTTCAATATTTATTTCCACAAGATTTTGAGTTCCAAATTTTCACCCCATCTCACCCCTCCCCCCACCCCAGGATGGCATGCATTCTGAATACCCCTTCCCCTAGTCTGCCTTCCCTTCTACCTCTCTCCCTCTTCTCTTATCCCTTTCCCCTTCTATTTTCCTGTAGGGCAGGATAGATTTCTATACCCCATTTCCTGTATTTCTTATTTCCCAGTTGCATGTGAAAACATTTTTTTTAAACATGTGTTTTTAAAACATTGGGTTCTAAATTCTTTCCCTTTCTCCTTCCCCACCCACCCTCATTGAAAAGGCAAGCAACTCATTATAGGTTATACATGTGCAGTTATGCAAAACACTTCCATAGTAGACATGCTGTGAAAAACTAACTCTATTTCCCTTAATCCTATCCTGCCCCCCCCATTTATTCTATTCTTTCTTTTGACCTTGTCCCTTCCATGGAAGTATTTGCTTCTGATTACACCCTTTCCCAATCTGTCCTCCTATCATCCACCTACTCTCTTGTCCCCTCCCCCCCAATTTTCCTGTAGAGTAAAACAGATTTCCATACCCAGTTGAGTATATATGTTATTCCCTCCCTAAGTCAAATCCTATGAGAATAAGATTCACTCATTCCCTCTCACCTTCCCCATTTCCCCTCCACTGTAAGAGCCTTTTCTGTTTTCCTGTGAGATGATTTACCTTATTCTACCTCTCCCTTTCTTCTTCTCCTAGTATAATCCTCTCACCCCTTAATTTTATTCTCCGGATATGACCCCATCATCTTCAACTCACCCTGTGCCCTCTATCTATCTATCTATCTATCTATCTATCTATCTATCTATCTATCT